AAAGAGTATAAAGATTAGTTTGGGATGGTTCTAACAGTTCCTCTTCAAGATCTCTTGGAGACGGAATGTGGGGAGAACCCAGCTAGCCAGGCTGCTGAAGCCCAGTTTTCAAACGGAAGGTAGCCCAAGCTCAGAATCATTTTATAAGTTTTCAGCCTGCTGCATTTTAGTTGTTTAGTATCTGCTACAACACCACTTGAATCATCCTGGGAGCAGGAACTTCATAGACAGGACTGGAAGCACTGCAACCAAGGCAACAGACAACCAAAGCTAAAAACAGTTAGGGTAAAAATAAATGTTCTGTCAATTGTACTCTTATTTAGCAGGTTTGGAACCAGTTACAGAAAATTATTCCTAGAAGTCCAGAAACAGTTACAAGTATTTCTAGTATTGTCACGAATCAAGGAAATGTATTCCATTATAGAAGTTCCAATGGCTGCTAATCTTACAGCAACACATTCTATGTTTTGGAATTAATTCTGTACCTTTATTTCAATTCCTTCCTTCAAATTTCTTGTAATTTTTTTTTAAATAGAAAAGCTCCTTCCAGTTAAGGTATCTTGCATTAAAATAAAAGCACATAAAAACCCTGGAAAAAGCTACATACACAGATTTTAGCCTTTGCCTTCTTCAACAGGCATTTGATGAGAAATTCCACAATTGTTATATATCAAGTTCCAGTTCTATCTGATATTAAGAGTCAAAGGTCCCTTCTCAACTTTCTGATTCCAAGGGATTTTGCTACAACTTGCTGAAGCTTCAGATTTGGTAACACCGGAAAAACTAGAACAGTTTCTAAACAGGGTGGCTTATGAGCAGAAAGGAGCTTGAATACTAGCAAAATGTTGACTGAAACCATGCACTTTTCCAAAAAGCTACAAAAAAAAGTAAAGCAATATATACTGGTTGTACGAGCCTAGAATAAACAACTGCAGAACTATACCCGAGGACTCCTTTCTTTTCTATAGCTTTGTCAAATACTGCAGTTCTATCAGATTGTTTTTCACACCGTCTCCTTAACTACTCTGTTTAATCTATATCCTTCCAATTCACGTTGGCCCTATTAGTACTTTATTCAGAAGATACAGCACACGAGTTCTCATATTAATAATCTATACGATGAACTACACAATAGTCAGCAGCAGTTGTTCATTTACCCCATGACGAACACAAAACTTCTTCAGTAAGGGTAAGGTACTTCACTTCATATTTATTGCATAGAAAGAATACACCCCCTCATAGTCTCTCCATAAATTTTTTAAGGTAGCAACACGTATACCACATACAGACATACCACACTAATTTACAAGGTTACTCTACAAAAATCTGTGAGCCAAGTACGGTAAGTCTGCTTAGCAACTCAATTCCTCCCTGATCCTGCAATTTACCTGTATTTAAGCTTTCCACTCTTAGAGGGAGACCAGACTGGGCCACAGCAACAAGTTTCAAAGCAATGTAAAATTGACTTCTTCCAAAATAGCCAAGTCTTGTTGCACCACAGAGCTCCATAATCTGAAACAAAACACATAGTTACTTGTACAAAGAAACTTGGGAATGAGCTTCTCTACAGAGGTGATTTCATACATTTAAGAGCAGCATGCTTTGCATTAAATGCTTGTAACGACTTATTATATACAATCCTTCAGTAACAACTTCACCTGCAATCTCTATTATGTGACATGAGTCAGAGTATGTGATTCCTCACAACCAGCAAAAGCACCAAGTGTAAAACTTAAGTTTTTCCCAATTATTCACCTTTTCTTTCACCTAGGTTGTAGAGTTCTACAGAGTTGATGTGAGATAGAGCAAGGGAGAGCAACTGGCGTCAAAAAAAACCCAAGACACACACACATGCCCAAACTGCCAAGAAAGCACATAATAAACATCCTAAGTCATTATTAGCTATTCCATTAGCAGCTGTAGTGTCTATCTTCAGTAACTGCAACAGAAAAGAAATAGCATTCAACATCAAATACAATAGTATTATATTGTCAGATGTCATACAAAAGCACAAAATGAAGACTTTCAAATAATTCTCAGACAAAATTGAACAGTGTGTTACCAATCAAGTTAGAGAAATGGTCTGCCCCCAAATTTCTCCCTGAAGAATTTCAATGACAAGGTCAAATTTTATAAAAAGTGAGAAAGACAGACAATTGCAAATGATATCTCCTAGCATTTTCTGATATAGGCTTGCTATAGCTCAACTTTTAACTTACAAAACAAGCGTATAAAGCATTCATTCAAAATACAAAGAAGTATTCACACATATGCATGGATTTTCAGCATCGAAGAAGAATGCAGAACTTCAGGTTCTCCAAACAAGAGATGCTGTCTCATTTAAGAAATACAACGAAGAAGTGGCCATATCTTATTCCGGTTTCTTCCCCTGTGTTCTATATAATGGAAAGGTGGGGTTTGTCTTTTGTTTCGAATTGAGAAATTTTGGTCCCTCCAGACAGCAGCTGTGTATTCAAACATTCTGACTGCACACACTTCC